CCCCCTGTTTTTTGCCGTTTCATGCGGTGGACCACAACGCCACCCACCTACCTACCTACCTACTGCAGAGGTCCTTCGAGGCCCGATTGTCAGAGCAAGTGCAGGCCCTGGAGCGAGACAGGCTGAAGGACCGTCGCGCGGAGGCCGTGCTCGAGGGGGAGAACGCCAGGTGAGGTGACCGACCGCTTCAGCCAATCAAAACATGCCTATGTCATCGTATGTAGCGCCAGGTGACCGACTGCTCTAGTCGATCAAAACACGCTTTTGTCATTGTGTGGGTACTGACTGCTATGTTATGTAGCGCCAGGCGACCGACCGCTTCAGTCAATCAAAACACGTTTTACTTCTCACATGTATGGGTCCTGATGTGTTGTATAACGCCAGGTGACCGACCATTTCAGCCAATCAAAGCACGTTGATGATAAATATTATAGAAACATATCGCATTGGGTACGTCTGTGTTGTATTACGGCAGGTGTTTTCACTTTTTCACATGCATGGGTATTGCTGCTGCGTTATGCGGGGGGGGGGGGGGCTCCGTCCATCATTTTGGCAACATCAATGTGGTAACAGTACTTCGTATTAATCAACAAGCGGAATACTATGCAGCTATGTATCGTACATTGCGCGACGAGGCGATCGCGAGTATTGTTGGTTCACGTTCCATCTCTTACGTTTTTTGAAGTTGTCGTACAACATCGCAAATAGAAACCTTGTACACTGTACAGGACAGAGCATGGGGTGGCTGCTGGCGGCGGCGGCGGCGGCGGTGTATCATCACACAATACTCCGCTCTGACGGACGGAAATCGGATCATTGTCAGCAGCCCGTTTGTTATTATTGTCATTCAACACGGACAGCGCAGTTTCAGAAATCCTTCTTCCCCTCCCGCCTTCGCACCCCCGCGACTTCACGCCCTTCGTGCCCTTAACTTCGCCCCCCCCATACTCCCATACTGCACGGTTTAACGCTTTTCGAGCTCCTACAATCAATGTTTATATATACGGTGGGGGGTCCCTGTATAGTGCCGGTATGTGCTCAGAAATTAGCCGGCACTGTACCGGACCGGAGATTTTCAAAGTACTGACAATGACTTGGAAATTCAGCGTGTGCCCACCGAAACACCGGACATCTTGGCACTATCAACCGGCATTAAACAGGGACCCCCACTAAATGTATTTGAATGTCGGCATCCCCCAGGATCAAGGAGGACCTGGCGAAGAGCAGAGCCGCGTTGGAAGCCGCTCTTTCGAGGCTTTCGGGGTCGAGCGACGACACGTTGGACCGGCAACTTGTGACCAACCTTATCGTCAGGTGAGAGAGAGGCCACGCACCAGCTGCTGTTGGTGTCGTCTCTTCATAGCCCGCAGTTTTTTTCTTTTTTTTTGCAAATCGTGTTGGCGCGGTGCGGGTACAGCTGTCACTAATAGTATTGTTGTTGTTGTTGTTGTTGTTGTTGTTGTTGTTGTTGTTGTTGTTGTTGTTGTTGTTGTTGTTGTTGTTGTTGTTGTTGTTGTTGTTGTTGTTGTTGTTGTTGTTGCTGTTGGTCTTGTTGTTGGTCTTGTTGTTGGTCTTGTTGTTGGTCTTGTTTTATTTCAGCCTACGGTATCATTCTGACCTCTGCCCGCCACCTCATGTTTCCGAAACAACATCGATTCCATGTGTTTTTAGTCGCCCCCGTGGTAATTTTTCGACCTTTGAATGGATGCCATCCAGCGCACGCGTCGTCGCGCAGTTGCCTTTGCTTAGGGGGCGGGGGAAGGGGGGGGCTCCCATCCGCGTGGCGCCGCATTGGACCCCGAGCAACTAACCGCAACAGCAGCAGTTGTGGTTGGCTCATTCCGTCGGTCCTCTACCCGAAAATTTCGCTCGTTGTCTTTGCTCGGGGGGGGGGGG